CATCTCCGGGGGGGGGTTAGCGGAGCGGTTCTTTCCTCGCTTTGTACCAATAAGGCCTGGGTTCGAGTCCCGGCTTGGCCAAGGCTTTAAGTGCATTTGGTTTCCAGTCCATACTCGCTCTCGCAGGTTTTCCACGGGTATTCCGGTTTCCTCCTGCCTCTAAAACTGGACCTTCTTCCAAACTCTGAAATGTGATGCTGATTAATAAAGTGTATGAAAAAACGTGCAATTATTGGCGCAAATAGCCCGAGTTGCTGAAAGCGCTATTAAAAACAAAACAACAACAACATCTCCTCGGTGTATTTCTGGTGCATACCACGTTTGTTACGCTTCGTTCCCGGTGCGCGTCATTTGTGTTTTCACCGTAGCCATTATGGCCGATGAGGCCATTATTCACGTTAATCCCTCGGAGGACGAGTCGCTCTTACGCATCTATAGAAGGAAATAGTGGGAGCTCAAAATGCAGCAAGTGCTCTTGCTGCTACGCCAGCTAAAAAGCGCACTTCTAAGCGTAAGAATGTCGCGCCTACCGCTGAACCCAGCCGATGAGCTCCTCAGAGCACGTACTTATAATAAGGCTGAAAGTAGCCTTGATGCAGCGAAATCAGTTCGCAATCTTATCGATGCCGTAGCTATTCTTGGCCATGGTAATTCACTGTTGAATTTGCGTCGGCGGGACGCAATTCGACCTGGTTTGAGCCAAAATTACTCTACACTGTGCTCCTCACAAGTTCCTTGCACAAGCCTTTTATTTGGGGATGGTCTTGCTAAGGCATGCAAAACTATTCAGGATTCGAATAGAATCGGATCCAAAGTACAAATGCGAGCGGACAACTCATCCAAACGCAGAATGAGCTATTCTTCCACATGGACGCGCCCATCGTCGGTAGATTGGGGCCACAGACCCTCGGTGGGCAGAGGATACAATAGCAGCTGAATGAAGGCACAATATCAACACGGAGATCGGTGGTCTCGACCATATCGCACAGCTCCGTACTCAACCGGTTCAAGCAAAGCCGACAACGTTGAAGACAGTCGTGGGTCGTCTCTGAAGCTATCGACGGCATGACTAGACAGAACGGAAGCAACTCACTTCGTTAGTGCATACCTCAAGTTGATATCCCCATAGCAGGAAGATTGAGACATTTTATCTCAGCCTGGTCTAAAATTACCTCTGATAAATGGGTTTTGGACACGGTTGCACATTGTCACATTGAATTCGATAGAGTACCGATTCAGCATGTTATCCCGACCCAGATCTAGTTTTCAGATTCTGAAGCAACGCTAATAGACAAAGAAATAAATTCGTTGTGCACGAAGGGTGCAATCATGCAAGTAGAACCTTGCCATGGCCAGTTTGTTTCCAATATTTTTCTGACACCTAAGAAGGATGGCTCGATAAGGCCCACAATTAACTTGAAGCACTTGAACAAGTTTGTTAGGTCCCATCATTTTAAGATGGAAACTTTGGAGTTTGCGCTGGCGCTTGTCCGACCAAAGTGCTATCTTGCATCGGTAGACCTCAAAGATGCTTATTTTGCTATTCCCATAGCCCAAGAACATCAACAATCTCTGAGATTTCAGTGGCGAGATAAATTGTGGCACTTTACCTGTTTGTGTTTTGGGTTGTCCAGTGCACTACGTATATTTACGAAAGTTTTGAACTTCCCCTTCCCTCCGTTTTCACTCATTGACAGAATCATTCGGAAGATAGAGGAGGACAAATCCACTACAGTTTTGATTTTTCCACTTTGGCAGACACAACATTGGTTCCCGAGACTCCTACATCTACTGGTAACACCGTCCCAAGAGTGCCAGGTCTAGTCCACCTCACCCAAACGCCAAAATCCATTGGAGAATCAACTGGTCTTGACGGCAGCAGTTTTATCAGGCGATCACTCCAAGCAAGTGGACTTTCAGATAGGACCGTTAGTATCATCCTCCAAGCCTGGAAACCAAGCACGCAGAAACAATATAACTCGGCCATATCCAAATGGCTTCACTTCTGTGCTCAACGGGCGCTTCATCCAATTCACGCCTCTTTAAATTCTGCATTAGATTTTCTGGCATCAATGGTTGATGATGACGCAGAATACAGCACGACCAATGTAGCCAGGAGTGCGCTGTCGTCGTTGTTATGGTCTTCATCAAATTCTTGTGTCAAATTTGGGGTTCGCCCTCGTCACACGGTTTATGCGAGGGGTCTTTAATCTGAGACCACAATTACCTAGATATTCTGACATATGGGATGTTAGTCATTTGCTTAATTATGTCATTGAGTTAGAACCTATAGATTCACTAAGCCTGAAGCAGTTGACCTTTAAACTGGTTTGTTTGTTAGCATTGACTACAGGTCAGAGGACACAAACTTTGTCATTATGTGATGTATCCAACATGATGCTTTCAAATAAACAGGTTAAAGTTAAGATCACCGCATTAATTAAGACCTCAAAACCTGGTAAGCCGCAACTAGTTTTGATTCTGTCGTCATATCCACAGGGCAGTAAGGTTTGCGTAGTCTGGACGTTATTGGAATATTTGAAACGGACCAACCCTATTCGTAGGAGTTCTAAGCTTTTCGTAAGCTTCGTGCCACCTCATAAGGCAGTATTAAAGTTCTGCAACCATTGGCCGATGATTGAAAATACACATAAAATCGACATCAGCAGCCGCTCATAAAGGTGTTCCCATAGATTTCATTTTACAAACAGCAGGATGGACGTCGGCAAAAACCTTTGCCCGGTTTTATAACAGAGCCAGTGTTGCCATGAACAGTGAACCAGAAGTAGATTTTGCCAAGGCAGTGCTTGGCTGAGATTTACTTATTTATGGCGGTTATACTCCTTGTAGCGGTCCATGGAACTGAACCAGACCATTTTTGTTGTTGTGACAGTCAACTTCTATTTAATTATAGTTGTTCTGTAGATTCGGTTTTCGCTATGGGCCCAAACTTCACTACGCCATATAGAGCCAGTATGGATTTAATTTCCCCTTCTGGGTATTAATTTTAATTTTGAAATGTATTTGTTTCAGTGTGAAACGTTAGCGGCACAGAGTCGGATGGCTGATGTTACTTAATGCAAAGGAACCCGCTAGCTATGCTTATTGAGAGTGATTGTGAATTGATCCAAGTTATTCAGACTTAGCCTTTTTTAATTTGATACCACTCTCATTAAAGTTTTGTTCAAGTGTACAGCCTTGATGTGTTTCCGGTATAGGTATCCTTCACATTACACTGGCTAGCTTTGAAATCTCACGTGATCTGAATGGAGGTAACTGCGAGGTAGTATCTTCCAATTAAACGAGTGAAATGATGTTTGACTGGGATTCTGCCGAACTGTTACCGAAATGAGGAATCACGTGACACCCTCCCAATTGATACATTTTTTATATCGCCAATGGAACCGCTGATTGCTCTGTACGAAGTATAAGTACTTTTCACTGCTACAATCCCGGCCAAATCTCGCTGGGTCCCCTCTCATGTTTATCATTGCGTGCACGGTATATACGCCAGCTAGAGACGATTGACACTGACCGGGGGATCCTTGGGGGAACTGGGGGAGGATGTGCTTATTGTGACGTGTCGCAATCGTTTTGGGGGTTCCTAATTGGCGGATGCAAGGTTTTTGAACACCGTGACTGAACAATGCGAGTGGAAAAATATCACCAGCATGAAGTTGGCAGGCATCGTGGGCATAACCTTTTGCATTCAGG